AAGCACTAGGGCACCGATTTCACCTAGCTAATCCCACCCAAATTCTTCTAGCTTGTTAATTATAATTACCTAACATGTTGATAATTGTTTTCCCTTACCTCACCAATACTCTCTTCCGAGTTATATTAGTTGTATTCCTTACCATCAACCCACTCTATTCCTAGTTATGGATTTAGATAGCTAAGAACCCATTAAGATTTGTGGAAAACAATAAAGATTACACAAACCATAACCTAGTCTTCCGAGTCGGCTATGTAATTTATGGTACTTGTTACTAGAAGCTTTTTATTAGGAATCTCCTTCCGGTCTCAACCTAATTCTCATGCAATTAGTGCCCAATTAATTGAAAGCATTAAGAACGGTAACAAGCACTCAACATGTATAGACAAATAAAATTAACAATATCAAAGAATTTGAGTATTCATAGCTAGGCTACATCGTAGCCCTAGTAAAAGGAATTAGTTCATGAAGGACTTATTGAGAATCATGATGGTTGATGAAGACATGGTAGACATTGAATTCTCCAAGTAGAATGCTAAGGTTGCGCAAGCTTTCTTCGTATTCTCCTTTGGATATTTCGGCTATGAGTATGAATATATAGGATGATGGATAATGGATCCCTTGAACAATGACCTAAACTTCCTATTTATAAGACTCCTATAAATCCTATCTAAGGTATAATTACAATTGTTATAAAAGTAGGATTCCTTCTAAAGTAGGGTCTTCTTTATTTCTCCTTGTTTGACTTGACAAGACTTGAAACATCTTGAACTAGGAAATTTGACAACAATCCTTGCAACAAAAGGAATGACTTGGCTTCTAGACTTGATTAATCTCCAATCTTTATCTTCTTGCCCTTTTTAGCACACCTTCTCCTATTTTATAATTCCTTCACAAATCTCACAAAACCAATTAAATAACCAATTTAACCCCCAAGAAAATTAACAAATAAATAAGTAAAGGAGGCATAAAATATATATAAAATATAGGCTTATCAGGCCCTTCTGTCCATCAGAGCTGGCCAAAAAATGAGCTTGTTCCTTTCGTCCATTAGAGCTTGATAAAAATGGAGATTGGACCTTTCGTGCATATGAGCTCGATACACATGGAGCTTAGACCTTTCAACCATCAGAGCTCGATATAAATTGAGCGTAGACCTTTCGTCCATTAGAGCTCTACAAAAATTGAGCTTGGACCTTTCGTCCATAAGAGCTTGACAAAAACTAAGCTGGAACCTTTAGTCCATATAAGATCGATAAAATAGAGCTTAGACCTTTTGTCTATCAAAGCTTGGGAAAAATTGAGCTGGGACCTTAAGGCAATTTTGTTCAGGAGCAGGTCTCTGGTGATTAGGAAATTCTAGCTGAATTATTGTAAGGAACGAAAACTGTTTTCATACTGTTTTTTGTTCACAATCACATTATTTGAATAATATTAAGTCTAAGTAGGTAGTTTGTGTGAAGATGAATAAAATATAAAACTCCATTTATGAAGTTCACAGCTGCGCAAGTTGACTGCCATGCCATCCAAGTATACTATATATTCTGTGGCCAACCTTGGTTTCCATTGGGCTCAGATCTTTTTGTTTTCTTCCAACCAGTCGTTCTGTCTTCTTGATGCGGTGCTCTGTTTTGCCTAGTAGTGCCTGCTATGTTTTGTGTTCTGCACTTTAGTTGATGTTCAATATTTTTGTATATTCTTGTCTCCTGTCATTCTGAATGAAAAAAAAAAAAAAAAGTCAAAGATTATATAGTGTCGAAAAAAATTCTCCTGGGATTAAAGAATTATTACTATGAGTATAAATTTATGTTGAATCTTCTGGATTTTCGTCATTTGACATGAAGTAAACCAAAAAAGAAGTACTCACGTTCTAATTTGATTAATTGAGCTAATTGGTTGTTACCTGCAATGTGAGGTAGCATCAGCAATTGAGTCAAAATAACTGTAGTTAAATACCATGATCCTTCTAGTTAAATACCCTCTGCGGGGACACCTCCCGAAGGAAACCTTCGGCAGATGTCAATCTCCAGGCAGAGGTGGAGCTCCTCTGCGCCAACGTTGCCAAGATGTCCGAGAAATACGAACACCTTCATACCAAGAACATTGAGCTGGAGCATGACTACCCCACTCTGAAGCGTAACTAGGAGAAGGCGCAAGCCCAGGGTTCCCAACAGAAGTTTACCCAGGATGTTGACCACACTCAGCCAAGCCAACTAGTGCCCTCTCACCACAGCGCCCCGATCCAGTCTAGGCTCAGCAAGGGTAAAGGCCTTCTTTACCCAGAGACAACTAAGTCGCGGTTCCTTCACATCTCCCCACCGAAGGACCGGCCCCATGAACTGGTGAAGGTCTACAAGGATTGCAGGAACCATATCTTGGACCGTTAGACAAACCCTATCCCTATATCTGTTAAGCCCAAAGACCCAAGGGTGGCACACCTAGGCCCCCCACCAAAGCCCACCCACCTACCAGCTGGAGAAGGTGCAGGTGACTCGGAAAACTAGGGGCAGTACTATTCAGAAGATTACGAGTCTTATCACACCGAGGTGTTGGAAGAATATGAACCTTACCTAGACCCTGGCTACCCACACCTCAGCCCTTCAGCACCCGAGCCCCTCCCTTATGCCGACCCGACCATGAGGCTTCTCTTCGAGAAGGTTCGGGGTTCGACCCAGTCACCAACCCCTCTGGGCGAAGCCACGACCCGGGCCCTTTACCGAACACATCCTCAATTACCACCAGGAGAAAGACATCCAGCCACTCCACATCGCCTTCTACACTGGCACGGAGGATCCTCTCACCCACATACATTCTTTCCAGTCTGCCATAGGGTGCAAGGGCCTCACTAACGAAGGCATGTGTCTCCTCTTCCCTTCCACCCTCAGTGGCGCGACCCTAAATTGGTTCTACAGGCTGAACCCCTGCACCATCAACTCATTTGACAGTCTGAAGCAGGCCTTCCTAGACCCTTTCATGATCCAGACTGACCGCTTGTACTATGCCGACGACCTGTACATGCTTCGACAGGGTGAGGACGAGCCCCTTCGGGAGTATGCAGCCAGGTTCAGCCACGAATACTCCCGCTGCCCAGAGATCGACGATCGCGCTGTCTTCGAGAGTGACCTCCGCGAGTCCAACTTCCGGTACCTAGTCCACAGCAACCCTTGGAACACATACGGTGAACTAATGAAGCAGGCAGCAGTTCACGCCAAGGCTGAGTACTTCAATTCCAAGCTTAGCCCAGCCACCCCGGCACGTAACACTTTTGTTGATCCCCCAACTGCTTCAGTAACTGCCCCAGCCCCACCTCAGCATTCTACTCCCGCCCTAAGTACCCAGGGTACCCCACACCCAAAAAGGAAGGATAGCTACCAGCATACCTTCAGCAATAGCAAGCATGACAAACATGGCAACCACCACCAGTTCAGTGTCGCAGCCCTGACCAGATTCAACTCCAAGGCTACTGATCGCTATTCCCCATTCTTCAAGGCACTTAAGGGCAACAAGCGAAACATCACTTGGACTACCGCATGTGACAAGGCTTTCAGGGAGCTCAAGGAGTACATGAGCCGGGCCCCTTTATTGTCAACTCCTGAGTCTGGGGACGTCCTCACCATCTATCTCTCTGTCTCGGCCACGACGGTCAACTCAGTGCTCATCCGACCACACGAATGTGCTGAACATCTAGTGCACTATGTGAGCAAGGGATTGCAAGATGCGGAGGTTCGATACCCAGACATTGAGAAGCTGGCCTTCGCCCTGGTAGTTTCGCTTAAACGCCTCAGACCATACTTCCAAGCGCACACCATCCACGTCCTAACCAACCAGCCACTAAGGCAAGTATTGCAAAAGCTAGAAACTTCTGGCAGGTTGGTTAAGTGGGCCATTGAACTTGGTGAGTTTGATATCCACTACAAACCCCGCCCATCTACAAAGGGTCAGGCCATTGCTGACTTCATATCAGAATTCACCGAACTCCAAGCTTCGATTGCTATCCAGATCATAACCGAACCCAATCTTCCTTTAGGCCAGCTCCACGTCACCAGCAATGGCAACCTCGACCTGACCCAGCCCTTTGGACCTTATATGTGGATGGCTCCAATACCCAAGGATGTGGGGCCGACCTCATTTCCCCAGACAAGGTTGTCCTTGAGTATGCCCTCTGCTTCAAATTCCACGCCTCCAACAATGAAGCCGAAAACAAAGCACTCTTAGCTGATCTTCGGCTAGCTAAGGAGATGGGCGCCAAGCAAATTCAGATATTCAGCGACTCACAGCTCATTTTCCATCAAGTCAACTAGGACTTCACGGTCAAGGACATCTCTATGACAGCCTACCTCCAGCATACCCGTCATTTGCTTGCAACATTCGACGCTCATCTTATAAGCCAAGTACCACGCTCTGAGAACAGCCATGCTGATGCGTTGGCTAGGCTAGCCTCGGCCTTGGAGTAGGGCATAGGTTGCAACATCCACATTGAGTTCTTGAACCAGCCCAACACACAAGCACCGCTCATCTATACCATTGATCACAACCCTACGTGGATGGACCCCATCATTCAGTTGATCACAGCCCTACGTGGATGGACCCCATCATTCAGTTTTTGCAGAACCAGACACTACCTGCCGAATTTGCTGAAGCACGGCGTGTTCGCTATCGCTTCGCCCGATACCTGATCATCAATGGCGCCCTATACAAGCGTGGTTTCAGCCTCCCCTACCTTCGGTGTCTGACCCCTAAAGGAAGGTAATTATGTCTTCTGGGAAATTCATGAAGGCATCTGCGGCAATCACTCAGGCACTAGCTCACTAGCGCATAAATCCATTCGGCAAGGATACTTCTGGCCCTCCACTACTACAATTTTATTAAACCACGACTCAAAATAGACAACGGGGCACCTTAAACGACGCTTGTCAATTAAAAAGCGTAATCTTTTAAAATGCGCTAAACAAAAGGATTTTAAAACAAGACATTTGTTAATTGACAAGCGGCGTATTTTAAAACACGCTAAACAAAAGGATAGCTTATGAATTCGCCCTCGACCTAAAATTCAGACTTCCCTGTGTGAAATCTCTCCCTCCTTGAAACCTCCTGAGCTCCTATCTCTTTCATTGAAACCCTCCTGAGCTATCTGAAACACTCCCTCTCTCACCCTTCTACTCCTCATACGTACCTACCAGCCATCGAGACAGTGACGCCGTCGACGCCATCGTTTTCTTCGCATCAGTCATCACCAGCCGCCATCGACGCCATCTTCACAGTCAACGACGGCAATGTCCTTGAAAACAAATCTAGAGACCTTGCGAGAGGGGAAAAGCCTAGAACATTAGATCTGTCATCGAACCTCAGGTGACAGATCAGAGAGACAAAGGAGAAGATGAGCTGGTCTTCGATGTCGCCTGAGGTTCGATGGCAGATCTCCATCGCGCCTTCTTGGTCATCGAACTCGCCATCCACGTCACAGATCTCGCCGTCTTGGTCATTCTCGAGTTTGATAAAGATTCATTCTCCCTTGGTGAACTTTTCAATTATAGGTGAATCCAATCCAGTATGAATCAATTGGTAATAGAATTTCTTTCATTATTTCTTTTTTTTTTCGCAGAGCATCAATGAATGGGTTTGATGTCAAGAGTAGGAATCTCTGTTTTTGGTAACTTAGAAACCGAGCACACAGAAACAGAAGGAAATCACGGCCAATTTAGGCCAAAGAAGAAAGAAGTCTACGAATTGGGTTGCTAAAAAACTCTGGTAAGATTATGCTCCTTATCTTTCTCCTTTAGTTTTCTATCCTAACTTCTATTCATCCATGTAATTGTATCTTGAGTTGTTATGTGAATGATGAGAGGGAAATATTCATCATATTTCTCCATCATATTGATTAATTTCTCATACAAGTAGCTATCTAGGTTTTCCAAAATAGCAAAATAGAAATGGAAAGGTACAAGAGCTAAAAAAACTGTAAAAGGTAGTTTGGGAATAAATTAAAGGAATGGGGTGACTGAAGCTTCAGATCAAGAGGATTGAGAATACGACTAATAGACAAGTCTTTCTCAAAAACAAGAACCGGGCTTATCAACAAAGCCTACGAACTCTCTGTTCTCTGTAAAGTTAATATAGCTTTGAATCACACCCACATATGGATAAGCTGGGATGTTGTTCGAACTTTTTAATTTAACTCTGTTATGAAAAATAAAAATTCATATTCCGACAAGTAATTGGAAACCTATTCCATGTTGGAGTCGGCTAATAGATGCACACATTATTTATAAGCAAGGGCACCCCATTCTACTTTCACGCAAAATTTCTGTCAGCTATATACTTCATTCCTTTTACACAAATTTGATCTCTCTCTGCTCTTTAATTTGCTCTCCTTTGTTGTCTGCCCATGGGTTTGAGAAAAAGTATACTGATTTTCTTGCTCATGTTGGCTTTCTGTGGCATTTGTTTCGGTGCTGTGTATAGAGTTGGTGAATCCAATGGGTGGACTTCTAGAGGCCTTGTTGATTACAATGACTGATTTGATATGAAACAAAAACACAGCGCATGTCTGATTTGATAAGTTTTCAACTTGCAATTGTATTATTATTATTTTTTGTTACAAGCAGATCCAGTTTGATGCAATAATTTTGTATCCAGTTTCCATTGCAGGTTTTTGGTCAGAATTAAGAAGGAAATTGTTTGGAATGTCAGGCACTAAGAATTCCTTTGTAGCAAACTGATAAAGACATATTGAAATTGGTTTTTTTTCAGGTTAGTTTCCTCCATATCAGTCTATTTTGCTTTTAGTTTGGTTTTGAATTCATCAAATGCAGTGTTGTTTTCCTTTCCTTTACCAGTAAGTATATACACTATGTTGAAAAAAATTTAAAAAGGGAGTCGAGCCTCTAATGTTTGAGTGAGACCACCGTGTATATATGTATCCTTTGGCTTATAATTGTTCTATTAATTGTGGAGGAGTTTAGGAGAGGACATAGTGGATTTGACAGAATATCTTGAGATCAGAGGATATCATTTTATCCTGTCTTTGAATTGTGATCTTTCACATTTCTAAACACACAAGTTTAAGTTGTAAATTGTTTTTGTAATGTGGTTTTTCATTTGTTCTTCTGTGTCAATATTGATTTCGAATTCCATTAGTTTTGCTATTCTTCCTTTTCTGTGGATAAAAGAGATTTATACAACTTTCATTTGTCTGGATTTTCGTTTGGGTTTTCATTGCTTTGGATTTTCTTTTCTACCTTCTGTCTCTACAATTTGTTCGAGTTTTTATTACTTTTGGCCTAATCCAATTGTTTTGATGTCAACAGCAATGTGAAGGATAACATTTGACGATGGGCAAAGGCTAAGGACAATGGATAGGCATGTAAAATAGCAGTTTTTCTTTGAGAGATAATAAGATCCAGCTGGTAGCTCAAAGACCCAGCTGGTAGACAACTTAGAAGAAATATAAGATCCATTTGACAAAGATGACAGCTGAATGTGGAGAACAAGTACAAATTGTGGAAGATACAACAACTTTAGGTTAATGCTTTGTACATGGTATTTTGTAATTATAGGATATAATGTAATAGATATGGTATTTTGTATGGATATAGTAGGAATCAAGATTGGTAAACAATGTAATTACAATTGAATCTTCCAAGTTTTATGAAATAAATAATTTTTTAGTATATATATTGTTTAGAAAGCATTATGATTGTTTTTCTAGTTAAAATCGTTGTAGGGAACTGTTGAAAACTTAAAAATAAAAATAAAATATAAAATATAAAATATAAAAAAAAAGCTAAAATGAATTCAGTACGTCACTTTTACAGATAATAAACGACGGTTTTATTAGACAAACCGTCGTCTTTACACGTAATAGACGATGGTTATTTGAAACAACCGTCGTCTTTACATATAATAGACGACGGTT